TAGGTTCTGCCTTCACAGTTCACCCAGATTTGGTTCTGATTGGTTGGTTTCTATGCCAGTCAGCGTCAAAAGCTCCACCTCCTAGGAAGCCATTGGCTCCTCACACTTCACCCAGATTTGGTTCTGATTGGTCGGTTTCTATGCCAATCAGCATCACCAGGCCTATCAATGGACCTGATAAGAGAGGTGGGGTTGATCAGCAGCCGCAGGGGAGGCCCAAGAGAAAGAGAGGCTCAGCTGCTGGTCAGGCCTCGAGCAAAAGAGAGAGGCAAGTGCTAATCAACAGCTGCCGTGGAGGCTACAGAGCGCACCCTGCTTTTCTCTCCAGGCCTCTCTTCGGGCCTGATTCGCAGCCCCCTTCGCAGTCAGCCATGGCAACCCAGCACTGACTTCCAGTTGGTGGAGCCTTTGGTTGTTTTGGATATTACGGACCCTAGGTTTTTATATATTAGAATAGATACTTCTCTCTAAACCTTTCTTTTCTGGGAGTGCTGTGCTCACAGCACCAAGGAGACCCCCTTCCCCTGTGCTCTCCTTTCCTCCTGCTGCTCAGACATGATTGACCTGATCCAGGACACTCCCCTGCACACACTGTAGGATGCATATACAATATCCTACATTCTAACCACGCTCTCTGACTTCTTTTCTCTCCATGAGACAAACTCTTTAGAATTCTGGGAGTGAAGTTCCTCCTCTTGTTACTCACATTTATTATTTTGTTTTTATAATACTATGTGAAGAAGGCAACATTAGCATTAATATCCCCATTTTGGAGATGAGGAAACTGAGGCTCAGAGAAGTTCTGTTACTGATCGAATCTCACATAGGTAAAGTGGCAGAACCATCCTCTGAATCTGGATCCTCTGGCTCCAAGCTTAGTGTTCTTTCTACCACCACAAGTGAGACAACTAGATGTTGGAGATGTAAATGGGAAATTCCTTCTTAAGGTTAGAAGTCTTTTTCTGCTTTCTGTGTATATGATTCCATTTTTATGTGTTATTTATCTGCCAGTAAAACTAATATGGGGATCAATAAATGTCCCTAATACCAATCTCTTTTTACAGAGCACACTGCAGTAGTATAAACTCAGGTACTATTATTTAAGTTAGCCAAGATACTTAAAGATTATACAAAGAGGTCGATTTTATCTTATTATTATTGCTAGTGTGTCATTTTAACTCAAACAGGCTAATTTAGGAAAAGAAAGTAATTTCAAAGGCAAGCCACAATGGTATAGAAAAACCTTTGCCAGCTGGCTATAAGGCTCTGGAAATTAATGAAATCATCACCTCTTAAAATATTCTCTCAAGCTGCATTGTCAGGAACTTATTCTTTCTAAAATTAGCTGTTGGCAAACAGTCACTCTTAAATCTAATGAAATTTAGTCATGTTTTCCATACATCTTAGAGTGTATCTTTTTACTCAATAAAATTGTAATCTAAACAACTGTTACTTTGTGGCATAAATGAATCAAGATGAGCAGTGCTGGGGAATTAGAAAGGAAACTCCACAGAGTCAGCCCCCAAATGTTTGAAGTGAGAGTTTAGCCTAGGTTGGAGGAAAAGAGGGTCATATTTCAGCCCTCTATTCACGTACTGCAAGTCTTTGAGTTTCCAAGGAGGACGATGATAAATGTCACAAAAATCCAGGCAGACGGAGGCTGCATAGAACATTAGTCCTCGGCAAGATCTTCCTGAAGGCCAACTTTTGGTGCATAAAATAGTTATGATCACCATAAGTTTGGGGCATAAACTGTGTTTCATTTGCATAAAATTTACATAAACCTACCTAAATGATTTCAACTTCCACAGAAAAAATATATGGGCATCTTCGTACATTATCTTAAACCTCATATACCTTAAAAACTGAAGGAGGGCTTAGGAAAACTTATTTGTAAACGTGTCTGAAGAATGTTATTGCAACGTTTGATAGTAAAAGCTTGATTAAAGAATAACTGGGTTAAAGGAATCTGGTTAATTTTATTTCAAGCAAAATATTTTTTAAAATCATTATTGTTGAAAATGCATCTAAAATATGTTCTTCCCCCATGCCCCTTTAATTAGTTCAGCATATGGTATAGACCAGTATTAGGGGAGACAGTCATTTAGAGGAAAGTTCAGATGGGTCTGACATTGGCTGACCTTGAGATAAAATGCAAATACTTGAAATTCTTTCATTTCCTGTTTTCTCAGCTGAAGAACACAAGATGGGGGGGGGGGTGCTTCTCCATCCCAACTGTACAGAAGGTCACCTATATGCTTTGATAAAAATGACAATCACCAAACCTCCCCTGAGATCCTGATCTGAAGGTAAAGAGAGAAGCCAGCACCATATTTTGATCTGCAGCATAGATGATTCCAGCACAGTTGGCCAGGGCACTCAAGTTAGAAATTGCTGGACTAGAGTCCAGCCGGTGTGCTCAGGGGTTGAGTGTTAACCTATGAACAAGGAGGTCGCTGTTCAATTCCTGGTCAGGGTACATGCCCGGGGTTTGGGCTCCATGCCCAGTAGGGGGTGTGCAGGAGACAGCCAATCAATGATTCTTTCTCATCTTTGATATTTCCATCTCTCTCTCTCTCCCTCTCCCTTTCTCTGAAATCAATAAAAATATATTTTAAAATTTTTTTTAAAGAAATTGCTGGACTAGAAAAAAATCTAAAGGTCCATGACACCAGCATATATCTGCTTAACTCTTCAATGTGTAAGCATCCTGAAACTCCATAACCTCTGTGAGAAGATCAAGTGCTTGAAGAATTTAAGGTCTTAAAACCAGCACTGGATCAGGACTCAAGGGTTGGGATCCTGATGTCTTCCCTCACTGGATTCATTACATTTGCCTTTCATTGTAAGCTCTCCACATACCTGTAAAGCAAAGGCTAATTCATTTCAAAGGTCTGTCTTAAGTTTAAAGCTCTACAAAGAACTTGACATAAATCTAAGTGGTGTGACTCAGACACATTTGGAAAGTTGGTGAGGAAAGCATGTTTCCTTGTAAAATGCCTCCTCTTAAAAGACATTTCACAGAGACAATCTTGGTTTAATTGATGTGGACCTCTTGAATGGAGATTTCAACACATATTAAATCAGATTCAAACCTAGTTCTAGCCCTTCCCCAAACAGCTCATATTTCTATTTTAAAATATAAACTTGGTGCAAAATAAAAGGAAGAAAATCATGTTTAAATGTTTTAACTCAAAAAGCTAATTATTACATAACATCTCTATTCAAGCTATGAATACAATGTTGTGCAAAATATTTGCAATAAGGCATAAGTCTGGATGAATTTTTTTTTCTGCTTTGGGGCTTGCAGAGAGAACTGTCTGCAATATATGTGAAACCTCTGTAAATCTGTTTGCAGTGGTCAATGTTCTGGAGGCAGTGGAAAAATAGGTTTTCTGATAGGGCATCAGTTTTGCAATGAGCACAATGAAATATGTCACTTTCAACTTGAGTCCATTTTTGAAATTCCAGGCAAAGCCATCACCACTCCTGTCATGGAAGCTGGATAATTGGGATTCGTTGCACAACCTACATTCTCTAAAAGGTGATTGACGTCCCTGCAGTTTGTGCTGTGTGAAACTGGTCATATTGTCAAAACCTGAGCAAACACAGTCTTCTCAAAAGATTAACTGAAATTCAGTTGAACACAAAGCTATGGTGGTCTTTTTTACAAAATACATATTTTAATATATAGTTTTTAGAGTTGTGATTAGAATAAAGTAATTTATCTCAATTGGCACTGTCCAATAGCGTAGCCACTAACCACATGTGGCTATTGAGCACTTGAAATGTGATTAATCCAAATTGAGGTATGCTCTGAGTTTAAAATGTGCACCGGCCTTCTAAGACTGAGTTAAAAAAAAAAAAAAGAATACAAAATATCCAACTCATCAATTTTTTTATATTAATTATATGTAGAAGAAATAATAGTTTGGATATATCAGGTTAAATAACATAGTAGTAAAGTTAATCTCACCTATTTTAACTTTTTTAATGTGACTACTATTAGAACATTAAAATTACATACATGGCTCATATTACATTCATATTGGACAGCATTTTTTCAATAAAAGATGAGAGGGTGTGCCTTTTCAAAAACATTTTTATTGATGCTATTTGAAGCTCATTATTATTATACCTACAGCATGTGAGTTCCAGATAGTTATGCTATTCCATACTAGTGTATCTGACACTAGACTGTAATGATGCCTCTACATTAGAAAATTGTAACTTCAGAATAATTTTAATTTATACATAAAAGGATTTTGCCATATGAAAGTAGCTTTAAAAGTCTTGAAATTGCTAAATATCCTTAAAAAATAATTTAGTTCAGTCCCGCCTTTGTAGAAGCAGAGAGTTGTAGTAATCTTGATATCACTGAGGAGCAAAGCCACTGATGAACACAGATCTCTGAGTCCCAAACCACATTAGTTCTATTTCATCAGTGTTATTTAAATTTGACTGTGTTTCAGAGTCAGTATGAAATTATTCTGTGCTCCCCCCTTCCCTCAACAATAAATAGTCTTATTTTTTAAAAAAACAAACCCGTCAACTCAAAAGCTATGTTTTTAAAAATTGCCATAATTGAGGCCACACTCATTAAGACAAAGTGATTAATAATATATTATTGGTCTCCTTTCCCTATAAATATAGTTTTACCTTAAAGGGTTTTGTAAAACATAAACTGACACACTCACCAAGAAGTCAGTCAGTACCTAGAATAGGATCTGTCTATCTAGAAATACAAAGTAGGGATGTGAAATAAACCAGCTTGACTCAAAGAGAACCTTAAAGCCTGCAGCAAAGATGGACCTCCACCTCAGGCAATGGCCAGGCAGGTGGGCTTCCGGCATGTGAAACAAAAGACAACAATAGCCCTGGAGAGATCAAGTCATCTAAACAGAGGGAAGAAGGACCTTGACCAAACTTGGTGAAGATCGTTTTAAAAACCTCATTAATTTAATATATTTGACACAAAGAAAGGATAAAGGAAAACTTACTTCTTGGCTTGATAGGGGGAGAACACAGTCCCTTTGCTGAGGCTCTTGGGATTCTAACTTGGGCCCTTTGGAGAACACGTCACCAATTCAGGGCAGAGTCCACTGAGAAGTCACACCAGCCATCCCTGTAAAATGAAGGATCCAGATCTTTCACTGTTTTGTGTTTTGTTTTATTTTTTAAAATACATTTTTATTGATTTTAGAGAGAAAGGATGAGGGAGAGAGAGGTAGAAACATCAATGATGAGAGAGAATCATTGATTGGCTGCCTCCTGCACGCACTGAGGATCAAGCCCACAAGCCAGACCATGTGCCCTGACCAGAAATCAAACTGTGACCTCCTGGTTCCTAGCTCCACACTCAACCACTGAGCCACACCGGCTGGGATCACTGTTTTTCCTGTGTAAAAAGTAACAAAATAAAATAAGTAATTAATTGATATTCTATTTTGTGGGGGTTGGGAAAAAAGAGAAAATATATTACTTAGTCTTTTTGAGGTCATTTAAATCTCAAGATTAAAGGAAAATAGTCCTCCTAAATACTGCTTTAACTGAGTTGACCAGTTTTTAATCAAACAAATTCCATGAAATGTAATGTGTAAAATGCCTGCCACAGTACCTGTGTATGCCAGACCCCAAATGTTAATTCTATCTGAATCACTCAAAGTGATGCCAGTCTAACTATAAGGTCAGGATGATTAAGAACTGGAAAGGATCAAGCATCAATATTCCTTTTTTTTAAAAAAAATTTAATACTATTTAATACTAGAGGCCTGGTGCATGAAATTCATGCATGGGAGGGGAGTCCCTCAGCCTGGACTGTACCCTCTCCATTCTGGGCCCCTTTGGGAGACGTATGACTGCCGGTTTAGGCCGGATTCCGCAGGGGTGTGACATTCTCACAAAACGGAATTGCTGGCTCTGAAC